TGCAGCTGAACCCTGTGAAGGGTCACCGCGGCGTCAGTTTACCTCGGGCTAGCCCACACTCAGTGAGCGGGGGTGGTGGGCCTCCGTGTTGAGCACATGCAACCATCAGCTTTCATCACCACTGGCCCCAGTCCCCATCCTTAATGTGTCTACACCAGTCTCGGATAAGACTGAATACCCTGAATGCCTCTGACATCATGGAGTTTCCACTGCTGCGCCGTCTCACCGCACAGATAGCAGCTTTGATATTTCATACCGCTGGCTCCTTCGCAGGGGTTCCCCACCCACCACCCCTCCTGACCATAGATGGACTCTGTAGAGTTGCTGATTATGTGGACGGAGGTCATCTGATCGCCCAAAGGTCAGATCTCCAACAGTTTAGGTTGTGTAAGAGTCAAGTAGCGTGACTTTAAACTAGTAAAATGACTACAAAGGAACCTTAAATCTTGGCTGACATTTGTGGTGTGAGGAGGGGCTGGGGTTGCATCCCAAATTAAGATGTGATTGTGTCGTTTTTTTGTCAAAATAATTTAAATATTCTGATGAGCAGCACCGCTACATGGAAAACAAACTCATGTAAATATTTTATGTAATCTTCAAAGCGTAGCTATGCGTTTACATTTGCCAATAGACACTCTGCTGTAACACTATCCTGTATGCTTGTGCTATAAATGATGTGAGCACCCACGTAGGCAGCTATCTTGATTATTTATCTTAATGTGTTGGACGAGGTTTTCCTAGTGGGGAAAAACCCCAAAATACCGGCAGATGACAGTCCCACTTGTGAAACTCAGGTTTTTATCGAATTAGTTCTGCTGTTTACAATAAAATCATGTCTGTTTTCTTCTCTTATGACATGTATTTCATGGATTGATTGATTGAACTACATAAACCTTTCCCTATCGTGGGGAAATTGTAATTTAACAGTATAATTTAGGAAACTACATTCTGCAAAAAAAATTATTTTGTATTTCTTCCCTTTTTTTCTGCTGTTTGGTCAGACGACCGTGTAGGAGCAGCAAAGGAACGGCGCATTATTCCAGTGGATTAACTCTGAGCTTTTCCTTCCTGTGAGACTCACGTGTCGAGTGTTTTTCTTGAATATCAAAGGGTTTCTCAGGTCAGTCATGCAACAGGATACCATTGTTGGGCTGAGCATCACCAAGTCTGCAGGAAGGAACCTCCATGTTTGGACAACATTCCTCTCTGCACAAGTGGCTGATTTTCTTCTCCTATTTAAAAAAAAAACACAACAACAACGTGGCTTGTGCATCATTCCCTGTATAAACAGACACAGAGACAGACACATGAATAACAAATGCACTTTACACGTCACAAGCAGATGACGGGTGTTCACCACAATTTATTTGTATGAGGGGTAGGATGCTTTATAGGAACAGGACTCACATTTTCCATCACATGCACACTCACACAGCCAGCAGAACGAGGTGATATGACTCCTCTAACTATAGTCTGCCTCTCTGTCGCTCTGGATAATCCAGTTAGGATGCGTTATCAGGAGCTTTTAGCTTCCTGGCTTCCAGCTGGAGGAACAACAGACTCCAGGCTCCAGACTGGCATGGTATCCTGAATAAACCTTTGTCACATAAATGCACGTGATACATACACTGGAGGATCTGCCCTTACATGTGCATAAAACTACATATCGCACTTAGATACTAACTAAGCACTTATATACTAACAAAGGACTGGCTTATCTAAAGCCTGTTGAGTAGCACTTGAAATGTGTTGGCTCTATGAAACCTAATGTACTTATATGATTCTGTTTTCTTCAAGGTTGTATCTTCTTGGTCGAATGCATTTTGTCGCTTTGGATAAAAGCGTCAGCTAAATGAAATGTAATGTAATATCAAACCACTTTTTTCCTCTGCTGTGTGTGTGTGTGTGTGTGTGTGTGTGTGTGTGTGTGTGTGTGTGTGTGTGTGTGTGTGTGTGTGTGTGTGTGTGTGTGTGTGTGTGTGTGTGTGTGTGTGTGTGTGTGTGTGTGTGTGTGGTGTGTGTGTGTGTGTGTGTGTGTGGTGTGTGTGTGTGTGTGGTGTGTGTGTGTGTGTGTGTGTGTGTGTGTGTGTGTGTGTGTGTGTGTGCAGGTAAAGTTGGTAAGCGTGTGTGTGTGGGTCAGAGGTTGCGGGGGGCACCAGCTGATGTCACAAATCTAAAATAAGAATAGTGTCCTTGTTGACAGCTTGGCGACTATAATTGTCGTGACAACCCCTAGGAATGACACCCCCGAGTGCATGGAAAAAGAAAACAACACACACACACACACACACACACACACACACACACACACACACACACACACACACACACACACACACAAAGCTGTGTCAGCGGGGGGAAACCCTCTGGAAACAATGTCTGGCATGCTTGGGGATTTGAGAGGGGAGTGCAGCAGGGATTTAACCCACTCTGGAGAGCACCAAACCTGGGCATGAAACAAGGCCACAGACCTTTTTAATTGAACCTTTAACTAAATATTATTTGTGGACGGATTGAATAATGCCATAATTTCTTTTAATATCTCAGATTCTTTATTAGAAATATTCTTCTACGTTTGAATGCTAGCCTCTCTACATGCAACATGGGTTTTCCAAAGCTGTTGCTTGCTTTTGGCACACCTAAAGTAATGTTCTAAAATAGACAAATCTAAAATAACCTGTTGAGCCTGTGTAATTCAACCCTGAAACATTCTGTCTTCTTCCAGACATCCATAAAGAAAGCATTCAATGATGTCCCTGTGACCAGCAATGCTGACATATTGCCGCCTTATATCTGAAGCCAACGTCACAGGGATAGCCATCTGGATCTGGATCTGGATTAATACTGGGCAGAACCCAGAGGTATCACGCTCAGTGTGGATGGATGATCCCCGCTAAATGTCTCTTAAAATTTGCCGGAAGCACTCCACGGTTTCTGCGATGACAGCTTCTTCTGGTAGCAAGTTCCACTCTCTGATTGTTCTCGGAAAGAAGGAGTATTTAAGAGTGTCACTAGTTGCGAAAATTCGCTCGAAGTTCAAAGAGTTGGCTTTGCGGGTTGCACTTCTTCTAACTGGCTCTAGGTACATTGATGCATCAATGGCTGAGATGTTATGGACAATCTTGAAGAAGAGAACCAAACGAGCCTTTCACTTAATTCCACCCAGTTCAACCGCTTGAGCATTTCTGTGACACTGCTGTCCCATTCATAATCTCCAAAAATGAATCTTGCACCTCTTCTTTGTACTGATTCCAGGGCATCACTGTCTTTATCAGTGTAGGGGTCCCAGACCGAGCTGGCGTACTCTAGTTTAGAATGTACTAGCCATCAAGTGACACACACACACACACACACACACACACACACACACACACACACACACACACACACACACACACACACACACACACACACACACACACACACACACACACACACATACACACACACACATTTTCTGACAAATATTGCGATTGCGATTCGAATTGCGATATTTATTTTTAAGCGACCCAACGGAAGTTTATTGTAAAATGCGGCCATAACTCCGGCTAGGAAGGTCGTATCAACATACTCCCGTCTCTAGCACCCCCGCAGCCCGAGCTACGAGTGAAAGAACTAAACATACATGAAACTTCCGTTGGGTTGCTTTAAAGTCAAGCTTCAGTTAAAGATTCACCCTTTTAGATGTAGAACATGTGATGGAGCATTACTAACCTGACTCAGATGGTTTGTTTCACCAAACTATCTAGGAAAGCTCCATTGGAAGCCATTTGGAAAGGGCAGGCACTTTCAAAAATACTTGGCAGGTGATTGGATCAATCTGTCTATCACCTTCTATCATGGGCCACTTCTGATTGATTAACAATGGCTGGTACATGTGGAGCACAGCACTTCTGATTGGTGTGGATGACTGACACACAAGAAGAAGAAAAAAATGTGTAAAAAAAAAAAAAAAAAGTTTTAAAAAATCGCAGGCTTTGCGATTTGATAATCGCATCATCTCGAATCGCGATTTCGATTTAAAATCGATTAATCGTTCAGCCCTAACCTGAATGTGTTTCTAAGTGTGTGAGGCTGCTATCTGAAAAGATCCTACAAACATTTGGAGGCTGGTAATTAGTTTGAAGCATAAAGGTGATAACAAGCGGCAGCCACACGTTTGCAGTGGAAGTCACAGCCCCACCTCTCACACCCTCTTCCCCCCCGCCCCCCTCCCCCCAGATTCACAGACACACTGACTTGAATAAATGCAAGATTATATGATCATCTCCACGGCTAACACTCATGAACTTCACCTTTACTGACACTGTTTCTGTGCATCAGATAGTGTATATGTCCCCCCCACGTCCTCCGCCTACTGCACCTTTCCCTTTTTCTTCTGCATGTCTTCTCCACCCACACCTCCTCCTCCTCTTCACATCTACACAATCTATGAGTCATCTGATCCAAAAGGTGAGATGCAGCATTCAGTAGATTATTTTCATCTTGACGTGCTACATGAGAGACAATCTTCACTTTTTTCTTTTGTCCCCTTTCATTTCCCTCCCTGGCTTTCATCCATGCGTCACTCGGTGACAGTCTACTAGTTGAAAGCTTGTTGCTTGTGACAGATTTCGTGCAGTCTGAGGTCATGTTAGACGGCTCCCCCCTGCAAACACTTTATACGAGCGCCCATATGGTCGTCTGGAGTGTGTGGTTTCCATCTCTGCTTGGTGCTCATGATTGAATGGCAGCTTGATCAAATAAAGACTGTGTGTGTGGTGGCGATCCCCGTCATAACAGCCTTTGTTTCCATGATAGGAAGTTACTCCTCAATAATATTTTGTTGCCATATTGATAACACGATTATAAACTCATACTGGAAAACAGATTAGGGAGTTGAGTCATCAGAGACATATTGGTTTCAGTCTCTCTCCCTCTTTCTATTCTTCTTCACCTATCATGCTCATCTTTCTCTACGACCTTCTTTTATCTCATGATTCCCTTTTCTCTCCCTTCAGGTTGTGGAAACAGCAGTATGAGTGGAGACATGTACAGTGCCGGTTACCGCTCCATCACCAACATAGACTACTCCTCTGTGTGCATCAGTACAATGGGTGCCAGGTACAGCCACTGCCCGGGAATGACCTGGCAACAGATGGACGTGCGCCAACTCTCCTTTCCTGAAGCATCCTTTGATGTCATCCTTGAGAAGGCCACGCTGGACGCCATCATGGTGGAAGAGAAGTCACCTTGGGAGGTGTCTCCTGACACCGCCTGTTTCATTCACCAAGCACTCACAGAGGTACAATTCAAAACTGATGAGGGTTAAATGTTTCTTGAACCAAAATGTATTGATTTTTGGCAAAACATACGCTGGGATTTTAAGCGGATGTGCAGTTGCGTTTCATATCCTGTTGTGTTATAGGGAGGGGTCATGCATTTTGAAACACATTTTTTTTTAAGTTTGTCTCTTTTACATCTGCGCTTGCTTATATATTTGCGAAGAGGTTTGTGTGCCTTGCCCCCAGTTTCTTTTGGGAGATGTGTTTTGTTGGAGCACCACCCATGACCAGAAGGGGCATAACGCGAAACCCGCAGGTCCCCACCAACCCGTTCACGTATCTAACAGATATTCCCCACTCAGCGAGACACCCGCTGAGAAGCCAACTCTGGTTATTGGTAGCTCTATTATGAGACACGTGAATTTAGAGACCGAAGCCTCCACAGTCACATGCATTCCGGGGGTCAGAACGGGCGACGTTGAGGCGCATCTTAAACTGCTGGCTAAAAATAAACGTAAATACAGTAGGATTGTTATTCACGTCGGTTGTAATGATGTTCGTTTACGCCTATCAGAATGCACCAAACTTAATGTGGAGTCGGTGAGTAGTTATGCTAAAACAATCTCGGACACAATAATCTTCTCTGGTCCCCTCCCCAATCTGATCAATGATGACATGTATAGCCGCATGTCATCATTTCAGCGCTGGTTGTCTTGGTGGTGCCCAGCAAACAATTTGGGCTTCGTAAATAATTAGACAGCCTTCTGGGGAAAACCTGGTCTGATTAAGAGAGACGGCATTCATCCTACTTTGGAAGGTGCAAATCTCATTTCGGCAAACATTTCAGGGCTTTGTGGACTTCAGTAGTTGTTGACTACGCCCCATTTTCTTACAAGGAGATGTTAACAGATGACCAATGTATAGCTGGGATCACACACACACACATTCTGCATAGACTTCCTTCCACCCCGAAGTCCGCTCACAATAACATGAATACATCTATTGATAATTCAGAACGACCATTGTCTCTTTAACTGTGTGACTCAATAACACACATCCTCTCATGGCCTCTTTAGGAGTCTTGCAGGATATGAATTATCCAATTAACAAAGCGCACATACATTTTCCCCTATGCAGCTTACACACCAACATTTTTATCGTTTCTTAGCTAATGCATGCTGGATATGAACCACTAACCAACAAGACTTTAACTGTATTATGTCTGAGGAAGCCCCTCTCTTGGAGTTCCTCTGACCTCTTATCAATTCACTTAACATGGGTACATCTGCTGTTAATTGCAAAGACCATTGATAATTAGCAAAGAGACTCATGGGCCTCTTCTAATGACTTTCTGAAAAATACTTATCAACGGGTAATCATTTTACTCAAGGCAGAAATCACAGGTTGTACTGTACCTTACCTACTCACAAATAGCCAAAAAAACACCTTTTGATTATAACACAAAAGTGGAAGAAAAGACAATTGTGCTAATCTACTTCTACTTAAAATGGAAAATCATTTAAAAACCTCAGTATGCTTAAGAGGAAAACATCAATTTGTCCCATTCAAGTTTAACACACATCCTATATATCAGGTGACATAAAAATGAATATACCAGAAATACGCTGTATTAAACTTTCTGCCATAACACATTATTTGAATACTTCAGTTTGAGTAGGGGAGCATCCTCAAACTCACAGAAAGACAATTTGATTGAAAGAAAACCCTTTATTGACAATTCAGGTGTGATTATGTAATGGCTCTACGTGTAGTTTTTTTCCTTTTTGCTTTAACTGGCCGAAAATCAGATCCTTCAAGTAAAGTCCAGTAGTGCACAGAGAATACGGATCTGAATTTTACTCAAAAAGCCTCCATATTGTGTGCGATGTCTGTGTGTTTGCGTACTGAGACACAGATGAAAAACTTCACCTGTCATAGCTAAATACTAAGGTCCAACCTCAAAATGTCATCAGTATGGTAATTAAATAACAACTTTTCAGCTGCAGCAGTCTTTCAATGGGGTTCAATGCTGTGAGGGGTACCTTTTAGAGTTCACTTTGTCCCTTAATTGACATGTGCACTTGGATTAAGCACAAAGTCCTATATATTTGGGTTTTCCTCAATAAATTGGAAGCTAATGAAACGTACAAGACTTTGTTTCCAACTTCTATACTACAAGAGTTGGAAGATGTTTTTATTCTAGAAGACTGGCCTTTGTCTGCAGTGAAGCACAAAACAAAACTCTTCTGGTCAGTATTATTCAAGCTACTGGAGTCTTTGCATGCCTGCGATGATTTGAATGCACTGCTACAGTGAGCGTAATCTCTGAATGACTTCTCTGACAGTGGAATCAGTCATAGTGGCACTTTACATTTCCACTCCATCTCCACAGCCCTCAGTTGACTTCCATGACGTGGAGTGCTATTCAGCGGCTGGCTGCAGCGCTAACCACCACTGTGTCAATGTGACAATGACAATGTTTTGGCCATTAGCCATGCTTGACCTTGACTCCGTGAGACAAGAGAACGCTGCTATCAAACTAGAGTAGGTGACTCCCGAGCTCTGAATTGAAAATAATTACTCATTATGCACTCACTGCCACATTCAGAGCACCTGCTAAATGGGTTGTTATTCAAAGTTGAGTTTGTTATTACAGGTATAGTTTACGCTTAATACACAGATGGAATATATAATTAAAGTAAATGTAACGGTGTGAAAGGTCAGGTTGTGTGAATCATTTGAATAAAAGCAGGCAGAGGACTAAGTGCAACTAATGTTAATGCACATTTGAACTGATGTTTTCAAAGAACACATCAATTATAAATATTATGGAGCTTTTCCGGTGAATAATCAAATTAAAATGTAGCAATCAGCTGGCTTCCACAATGTGTTATGCTGATGAAAAACAGTCTATATATTTATTATAAAGTCAACTGACAATTATTACAATTTGGAAAAGGATTAGTTATCTATCGCCATAAAGATTCAGCTTTACAAAAGTTGTATAAGGAAGATCACTCATGAACAAGTTTGTCAGGCCTAAACAATACTCAGTGAGTTTTAGTGAGGAAACGCATACTAAAAAAGCATTAATGCGCCATAAACACACGAGCAAAATGTACTTGTGTGGTGACGCAAAAGGGTGATGGGAGTGAAAAAAAGGTGTCGGCAGTGTTAGCATAAACTGCAGGAGCTAGCAACGACTGCATTGCACGTAATTAGTCGAACTTTATTGTTGTTTTATCGCATTTTACACTAGTACTCTACTGTTAGCAGTGTCCTTCCTTCGTTGCTGATTGTTTTGTTTTCAACATTCAATCCTAACTGTCTTAAACTGGGAGTAGAAATCGGTATTCCCTGAATGCAGAGGCATTTCAACCCTTAAAGTGGCTGAATATTCCAGAATGTTGCTATTTTTATTATTTGTAGTGTGTTGCAGCCCATAATAAGTGCTTAGTTTTTTAAATGGTGACAACCTAAATTGACAAAACACTGTTTTGTCACTGGATAAAATAGATGTGTCTTTCAAATAAAGCGATTGGTCTGATAAATTGCCTGCCATATATAACAGTAATTCCTGGGAGAAGATTAGGCCTGAGAAATGTTTTCAGACGGAAGTATCTAAAGGCTCTTCTCACCCTGCTGTGAGTTTAACCAGGGACAAGCTTGACTCAAGGAGTAAACAAAAGCAAATACTGTGCTGTATATGGGCCAATTTGTAAAGGACAGACAATAGCCTCACACGCTCACTCAGTAGTAGACAGAGTGCGGGGTGTTTTCCTCCAACAGAAGGACGTATTAAAGGAGGATCAGTGAGTGAGTTTGGGGGACAGATGGGAGGATTTGACTTCCCTTCAAAGGAAGTGAAGCTGAAGTCACGAAGCAGCCCTATTTGAAAGCCATTACACTTTAAGATTCAAGTTCCTTCTCTGTCATCATAGCTCTCACCATCTCTTCTTCTCACTCCCGCCTCTCCCTCTGTTTTACCCTCATTTCCACTTTGGTTTCTATCACCTGCTCTTTGCTCAGGGCTGTGAGGAGACGGTGATGTGTGATTGTGTTCATGTTCTCTTTCTGCTGCACTCTGTGTGTGTGTGTGTGTGTGTGTGTGTGTGTGTGTGTGTGTGTGTGTGTGTGTGTGTGTGTGTGTGTGTGTGTGTGTGTGTGTGTGTGTGTGTGTGTGTGTGTGTGTGTGTGTGTGTGTGTGTGTGTGTGTGTGTGTGTGTGTGTGTGTGTGTGTGTGTGTGTGTGTGTGTGTGTGTGTGTGTGTGTGTGTGTGTGTGTGTGTGTGTGTGTGTGTGTGTGTGTGTGTGTGTGTGTGTGTGTGTGTGTGTGTGTGTGTGTGTGTGTGTGTGTGTGTGTGTGTGTGTGTGTGTGATCATCACAGAGAAGTCGATAGCTCTCTGCGGTTGTCTATTTTTGCTCCCTCACTTACTCGTATGGGTACAGCAGTCACGATTCGAGTTCATGTTTTGCAGCAAGGTGGGTTCAGAGCCTGCTTTAAAAAAGGTGACAAAAACCAGGACTGACAGAAAGCTAATGAGCAGAGCACCAGCGTGAGACTGATGGGAAGAAGGTAGCAAAGGAGAGGAAAGAAGAGAGAGGGGAGGGAAAAGAGTGCTCTCATGTATAAAAAGAAAGAAATACAGGTGACAATAAAACAATTGCTACCACTTCACATCCAAATATCTTATTTCCCAGCCTGTTAACAAACCATGCCTGTTGTGGTTTGTTAAGATGTTAAGGCATAGAGCAAATATCCATTGAGTGAATGCAGCACACGGTCATCACTGGAGCCTATCAAGGACACACGCTGTAAATAGAAGCATGCTACAATCACTGTTTTGTTTTTGTAAAATCTCACAACAGCGGCCGTGGTGCACTGAGGTGTGACAATTATTTCACAGCCTGACATGCTCTGTGAATCACTTTTACCGTTGCTATGGAAACTCTTTCGTTAGTTATCATCTCAGACTAACACTTTTAATTGCCAACCATCGTTTAAAGAGGTAAAGACATG